CTTTACGATATCACTTATCTCTTGAATTCTCCCCTCAAGATCCAGTAGTTGTTTCTCTCTCTTTTCCTCAGCTTCTTTATTCCCCATCATTTTGTCTTCTATATCACTAATTCTTCTGCCTCATTTATCCTAGCAGTTAGGGCCTCCATTTTTTTTTATTTCATCTCATTAATAGCCTTTTTGGTTTTGACTTGGTTAGATTTTAGTTCCTTTATTTCTCCAGAAAGGGATTCTTTAGTGTCTTCTATGCTTTTTTCAAGTCCAGCTAGTATTTTTATAATCTTTATTCTGAACTCTAGTTCTGACATCTTATTTATGTCCATACTGATTAGGTCCCTGGCAGTCAGTACTGCCTCTTGTTCTCTTTTTTGAGGTGAGTTTTTCCATTTTGTCATTCTGTCCAGAGAAGAATAGATGAATGAGAGAACAAAATACTAAGATGGCAACAATGACTCCAGAGAAATATACACTAAACTAAAGTCAGAAGAGACCTGAAACCAAATAAATAAATAAATAAATTTTAAATTAAAAAAAAAACAAAAAGAAAAGAGAATATAATTAGACAGGTGAACAAATAGAGCCATACGCTGGATCATGTGTGTGTGTTGGTCTGTTTGTTTGAAAAAACTAGATCCCAAAATTGTAAAGAAAGAAAAACTTACATATGTACAAAAATAAAATAAATACAGTGAAAGGATAGAATGTAACTGTAAAAATGAAAATTAAAACACAAGAAAAAACAAAAGAGAAAAGAAAACAAAAAAGAAAGGGATATAAACAGACAGGTGAACAGAACAGAGCAATACACTATATCCGAAGTACATTTTGGTCGTTTTGTTAGAAGAAATTACATCTCAAAATTATAAAGAAGGAAAAAGTTATGTGTATACAAAAATAAAACTAAATGCATTGAAAGAATAGAATGTAACTGTGAAGATGAAAATTAAAAAAGACTTTAACAAAACAAAAAAAGGAAGAAGAAAAAGAATATGATTAAACAGGTGACTAGAACAGAGCCATACACTAGATTTCAGGTGTATTTTGGTCTGTTAGAAGAAATTGCATCCCAAAATTGTAAAGAAAGAAAAACTTACATATATACAAAATTAAATACAATGAAGGGATAGAATGTAACTGTAAAAATGAAAATTAGAAAAGATTTAAAAGAAGAGTTGACAAAATAAGAAATTGGTTGAAAAAGGAAAGAGGGGGGCGCCTGGGTGGCTCAGATGGTTAAGTGTCTGCCTTTGGCTCGGGTCATGATCCCAGGGTCCTGGGATTGAGCCCCACATTGGGCTCCCTGCTGAGCAGGGAGGCTGCTTCTCCCTCTCCCTCTGCCTGCTGCTTCCCCTGTGCTCTCGCTCTCTCTCTCTCTCTGTCAAAAATAAATAAAATCTTTTAAAAAAAAGAAAAGAAAGAGGAAAGAGAAAAAATTTTAAAAATTAAAATTGAAAGACTAAAGAATCATGGGAAAAAAGCCATGAATTCTATGTGCTGTATTCCCCTAGTGCTGGAATTTTGCAGTTCTTATTGATCAGTAAACTTGGTCTTGGCTGGATGTTTTTGCTGATTTTTTTTTTTTTTTCTTCTTTAGATTAAATTTATTTGTGGGTTTTTATTATTAACATATAATATATTAGTTGTTTCAGGGGTATAGGTCTGTGATTCATCAGTCTTACACAATACACAGCGCTCACCACAACACATACCCTCCCCAGTGTCCATCACCCAGCCTGATCTTCTGGGGGAGGGGCCTGTTGCATTGATTCTCAAGTGTCTTTGGCCCAGGCAGAATTGCACCGCCCTTGCCAGGGAGCCAGGCTAAGTAATCTGCTCTGGTTTGCTCTATCTGGCTTTTGTTCCCTGAAGGCTTTCCACACAGTTTTAGAGGATGAGAATGAAAATGGCCTCCCAATGTCTGGCCCTAGAGCCAAAAGCTTGGGACCCCACTCCTCAGTGCACCCTCAGAGAAAAACAGTCAATCACTCCTATCTCCCTGGTTTCCAACTGCACTCTCTGCTCACCCAGCCCATGACTAAGCGTTTCTATCTCAGGCCCATGACCCCATTTGAGTCTCCAGACCCTGCAGACTCCTGCGGCTCGCTCCTGTGCTGCTCCTCCCAGGGGCGGAAAGGGGTCTTGCTGGTTCTGCCGCTTGCTGGGCCACTGCTCGGGGAGTGGTCACCCGACTATGCTAGGTTCAGGATTTATGGCATCCCTGAGCTGAGAGCCCACTCCTGGACTCTGATTGCAGCTGGCTTCCGCTTAGCCACCTCAGCGCCTTTCAGTCCTGATGTCCCTCACCAGAGCAGACTTCTAAAAGTTCTGATTTTGCCCTCTGCTGCTGTATTACTTTCTAGTAGCCAGCTTTAGGAGGCTCCGTCCCCATGGAGTCTATCTTCCCATATATCACCTTGGATTCACTTCTCCATACCTCCTACCTTGCAGAAAGTGGTCACTTTTCTATTTGTAGAGTTGCAGCTATTCTTTTCTTAGATCTTCATTTGAGTTCGCAGGTGTTCAGAATGATTTGGTAGCTATCTAGCTAAATTCCTGGGTCTAGACAAAACTAAGGTCTCCTACTCCTCTGCCAGCTTGGACCCTTCCCCACCAAAGATTAATTGACCATATAATTGTGGCTTTATTTCTGGGTTTTTCATTCTGTTACATTGATCTATATGTCTATTTCTGTGCCAGTTTTGATTACTATAGCTTTGTAATATACTATTTTTATTACTGTAGTTTTGTACTATAACTTGAAGTCTGGAATTGTGATGTCTCTAGCTTTGCTATTCTTTTTCAGGGTTGCTTTGGCTATTCAGGGTCTTTCATGGTGCCATACAAATTTTAGGATTGTTTGTTCTAGTTCTATGAAAAATGCTGTTGGTATATTGATAGGGATTGCAATAAATGTGTAGATTGCTTTGGGTAGTATAGACATTTTAACAATATTTTTTCTCCCAATCCATGAGCATGGAATGTCTTTCCACTTCTTTATGTCATCTTCAATTATTTTCATCAGTGTTTTATAGTTTTCAGAGTACAAGTCTTTCACCTCTTCATTTAGGTTTATTTGTAGGTATCTTATTTACACCATTTTTTTTTAACAACTGCAAAATTAGCCTATGGTGATAAACTATAACCAATTACATATTTAGGTTGCTTCCTGCCTTTTGCTATTACAAGCAGGGCTGCAAAGAAGAGCCTGGTACATATATATGTGTTTGAATATATGTAAGCACATTTGGAAAGTTAAATTACTAGGGTGCCTGGGTGGCTCAGTCACTAAGTGTCTGACCAGCTCGGGTCATGATCTTGGGGTCCTGGGAGGGAGCCCTGTGTTGGGCTCCCCACTAAGCAGAGAGTCTGCTAGTCCCTCTCCCTCTGCCCCTCCCCCCACACATGTGTGTGGGCATGTGTGCTCTCTCTCTTTCTCAAATAAATAAAATCTTTATTAAAAAAAAGGAAGTTAAATTACTGAATGTGGAATTGCTGGGTCAATGGGTAAATCCATGTATAATTTTACTAAGTTGTTTTCATGGAGGCTGACAGTTTTACTAATTGACAATTTCTTTTTTTTTTTAAGACTTTATTTATTTATTTGACAGAGAGAGACACACAGCGAGAGAGGGAACACAAGCAGGGGGAGTGGGAGAGGGAGAAGCAGGCTTCCCACTGAGCAGGGAGCCCGATGCGGGGCTCGATCCCAAGACCCTGGGATCATGACCTGAGCCGAAGGCAGACGCTTAATGACTGAGCCAAAGTGTGAGAGTGCTTGCTAATGGGTAATATCAACTACTGGATAATATCAACTTTATGATATATAGATTCCTATATGAATTTGGACTGCTCTTCAGCTTTCTTGTATCTACTAGGGTAGGCTAGGTTATACCATAGTAACAAATAACCTCAAAATCTTAGTGGTTTAGAACAAGAAATTTTCCTTTTGTTACATGGCCATCAAGGGTTGCTGAAGGCTCTCTGCCATGACTTTCACTCAAAAACTTAGGCTAACAGGGTTGCTGTCATCTTGAACATTTCTAGTTGTCCTGGCTAAAGGAAAGAGGGCCCTGGAGAGTCTCACACCATCAGTACAGTCATACATGTGCCCAAAAGATAGAAAGCTGAAGATATTTGGCAAACAGCAGCTCTGACTAAATACCATATCTCTGTTCTGTCCTGTTAATCTGTCACTTCATGTGGTAGAAACACAAGTTTTTCTTTTTTGGAGTATGTCTGGCTGTTCTCTCATTTTCAGTTTTCCTACTAAACTAGAATTAGCTTCTCTAACCACCCTCTGCCCTCCAGAAAAAGCCAAATTCTGTCAATATTTTTTATTTTGTCTGCATTAAATTGATAGATTTAAAGAAAATTGGGCGCCTGAGTGGCTCAGTTGGTTAAATGACTGCCTTTGGCTCAGGTCATGATCCCAGAGTCCTGGGATCGAGTCCCACATCGGGCTCCCCCTTCTCTGTGGGGAGCCTGCTTCTCCCTCCGCCTCTGCCTGCCACTCCCCCTGCTTGTGCTCTCTCTCTCTCTCTGTTAAATAAATAAATAAAATCTTTAAAAAAATAAAATAAGATAAAGAAAATTGACATCTTACTATATTGAGTTTCCACAACCAAGAAGCAGATATATATTTTCAATTATTTACACCTTCTTTTGTATCTCTCATATTAATAGAAATAATTATTAGTAAGTATTCTTTTTTATTTTATTATCACCTGCAAATAATAATTTTAATTCCTTCTTTATAAGTAGGCTGGTTTTCTTGAAGGAAAAGAAAAGATATAACCATTTCTCAAATAATATATCCATTACAAAATCAAAAATTTTTTCAAAAAAGTTCATACAGAAGATTTTTCTTTTCAAGATCCATCTTTGTATTAACTCTAGTAAATAAGTAGATTACCATTACCATTACCCCAACAATAATATATTTTCTCTGGCAACTGGAAACACCAAATTTTTAAGAATTATATTTGTTTTGTGTTTTGCAGATGTCTATTATGCCCACCTATACAGGAACCCAGGAGATGATGAGCCATTAATGTAGAATAAGATCTGACTCTAAAGAAAGAGGCTCACTGGCCCTTTCATCATACTTGAGAGATGTTGAAAATTAAATATCCCCAGGTAATTAGAGTGTGGTTTTGAGTGACATAGGCATTGCTTTCCTATTGCATTTTGAATTATTTTGTTGTGAGAAAAAACATGTTGTTTTCTTGGGGAAGAAAAAATCCGCTTATTTCTAAAAGTAAGCAGGTATTGTATTACACCTAGGGTTTGTTTTATGTTGGGAATGAGAACTTCTCATTGCATCTAATTTCTTTTCACTGCCTTTGTAATTAGGATGTGAAGTTCAACCTGAGAGTATTTTCCTTCCTTATAACTTGTTTCTCATTTTATACTCCTTCTATCTCAGCATTACTCTGCTCTTTTTCCTACAATCCATACTCTTAAGAGTTCCATCCTTAATCACAAGACTGTGAATTAAATAGAAGTTGGTCATTAAGTGCTGATAAGCAGATTATTTGTGAAATTATAATGCATGTATGGTTGTGCTTGCGATAGAGGTCAGAGAGGAATACATCAAATTTGAATACCTCACCGTCATCAAAGTCTCATAAAAATCTTACGGATTTTTAAAATGGAATGGGGTGCCTGGGTGTCTCAGTTGGTTAAGTGTCTGCCTTTGGCTCAGGTCATGATCTTGGAGTCGTGGGATCGAGTCCTGTGGTGGGCTCCCTACTCAGCGGGGAGTCTGCTTCTCCCTCTCTCTCTCTCTCCCACTGCCCCTGCCCCACTTGCACACAGGTGCTCTCACTCTCTCTTAAATAAATAAAAATCATTTTTTAAAAATCTGATGGAATGATTTAAACTGAAAATAGAGACTTTATCATTACACAAAAATGGAGAAAATGTCTTCATGGAGCCAACACAGAATAAGTACTGGGAATATGGCAGAGTAAAAAGAGACCCACCAAAATAACAAACATCTGAAATATAAAATGTTTAAGAAGACAGATTTCAGTTGTGGTAAGCAAAGATAGCACCACAGCCTTGATTTTAGAACTTGGGCAATACCTACAAAGAGAAAAACTGTGTACAAACCCAGAGGAAACAATGGTAATAGAAAAATAGGAAAAAAAAAAAAAACACTAAAATGCAGAAGGAATGGAATTGTCAATCATAGGGCTGAAAAGGATAAAAGACACAGATTTATTAAAAAGAACTAGTTAGAATTAAAAAAAAAAAAAACGCCTGGAAGCACAGTGATAAAAGTATAAAGCAATTTACAAATATTCCTTAAGGGAAAAAATGTCACTAGAATAGTGGTGTGGTCAATAAAATTGAGGCTAAATGGAAAGATCCAGATTAAAATACAGATGGAATAGACAAATAGGTTGTAATAAATCCTATATACCTAGTTTTTTGTTCCTGCAACTCTCTGAATAATAGCAGGAGAGGGGGGTATTGCAAATAGGAAGAAACTGCAGTAAAGGAAAAATTGAAGTTATTATGGAGAAAAACAGAGCTTTGTCTACAGATTGAGAGTTTGGCATGTACTTATTATTTGACACTTAAGAACAGTGTACTCACATACCTACTTACCAGTTACTTAACACTGAAAAGAACTGTCCTCTGGAGAATAAAAGATAAGAATGACCTTAGACTTTGTACTCAAATAACATAAGATGCATTTAGAGAAATATTTACAGAATATCAGCCAATTATCTTGCCTAGTTTCTGCCTTTTGAAGATAAAGGATTTTTGAGCCCTGATATCTTAGAATTTCTAATAGCCAAGTACCAGAGAAGATTATAAAAGACTGGGAATGCAGAGGAAACTTCTGAAAGTGGTGGAGACTGAGCACTTTGAAGGAAGTGAGGTGGTGGTACCATCCAGGAGGGGCAGCTTAGGTACTCAGGCACAAAGCATCTCAGTGCAGGATCTCCACCTGAGGTTTTGCATTCTGGGGTCTGGGCCTCTATACATATGGAAATGTAACCTTACCTGTACTCAAGGATAAGCAGAACCTAGGAAAATCTTGCTGACCAAAGTGCAGAAGACTGCTAATTTACAGATTTATCATGAGAAATAGAATTTTCAGGTGAACTTGAATGTTAGGAATGAGTAAAATTTTTGTAGTCTTTAAGTCACATGGGGAAAACAATTAAAACAACTGTATAACTTTGCTGAATTAGAATAGATTTAGAATAAAAGAATGTAACTGGTTTTAAGAAGTGTTTTTCTGCTAAACTTGAAGTATTCTTCCCTGGTATCGAGATACTTTCTGGAGGACCTAAATGATGGACATTCACTGATGAGCTCTGGATATGGCAGGAAATGTATGCTTAATTCTACACATATAATCTGTGCTTCTATACAGATGGACTTCCACTGACACTTTCTCCCTTTAAATCCTTTACTACCATTGGCTTTACCAGCTTTTATGTATAGACAGATGTTGGTCAAATACATCACTGATTTTTTTACTTTAAAAAAATTCAAAAGATGCAAAAGGATTCTATATGTAATGAAAAGACTGGCTTCCCCAGATTCTTCATCCTCTCACCAAAAACAGCTCATATTATCAATTTCTTAGACATCCTTCCAAAGATAGGCATATTCAAGCAAATTCCTATATTCTTTAGTAGTGAAATACACCAAATCCAACTTCTAATGGATGTGTTGTGGTTTTGTTGGCCTCTGACATGGTAGAGCTATGGACTGAGCTGCAGAGGCTCCACATCTGCCCCTGACGATTAATAAAGACATGGAACCTGCCATCTAATTTTCTCAGGCTCAGGTTATTGCAGTAGGGCCAGGTCCTGGTTGCCTAGTGTGGCTCATCAGCTGAATTCAGTCACAGGTCTGAGAGAATAATCTCTTCTGCAATTGTTTCCTATGCTCTAGCTAAGTAAGACAGGGATGTTTCTTGGTTTTCTTGTATTGATAATTCGTTCCTGAGACCACCTTTCGTTATGTTAGAAAACAAAAAGATTGCATCTTCTAAAGCACAGACTGGTCACTGTCCCATTTGGGCAGGGTCTTGAGAGCCAACTTGTGAGTTTGCTATTTTGTTGTCAGAAAGATGAGCTAGAGATCGGCTAGTCAAAAACAAAGTTATGTTTGGTGATACTTATTTTTAATAATTATTTTAGGTAATATATAAGTAAAAAACCCATTTGAAAGTCACTATGTTCATTTGCCTTAGTGTATGTTTTGCAACTAGTTGTTCTTGGAGTGCTCACTGCTCAGAGCAGTGAGTGCTTCATTAAGATTTATTTTTATGCAGGCAGTTGGTCACACCTACCCTAAAAAAATGTTTCCATGTTAGGCTCCAAAATAAATATACAAAAAGCAGTAGCTTTTCTCTCTGCCAGGAATAACTAGCTTAGAAAATATAATGGAAGGAGAGATCCCATTCATAATAACAGCAAAAATACATATAATAACTGGGAATAAACTAAAGGAAAGTATAAAGCTTGTATGAATAAAGCTATACAAATCTGAGAGGCATAAAATAAAACTAGAATAAATGAAAAGCTCCCTAAAGTAAGCTATAAATATAATTTCAGTCAACTTCCCAACAGGATATATATTTTTTATATAAATTCAGTTTAGTTAACATATAGTATATTATTAGTTTCGGAGGTAGAATTTAGTGATTCATCAGTTGCATATAATACCCAGTGCTGATTTGCCCTCCCTAATGCCCATCACCCAGTTCCATATTCCCCTACCCCTCTCCCCTCCAGCAACTCTTGTTTTGTTTCATATAGTTAAGAGTCTCTTATGGTTCATCTCCCAACAGGATATTTTTTAAATTGCTTATCTGAAAAAAGATGGCATAAAAAATAGCCTTGAAAATATTTTTAAAAAGTAATAATGGAAATATTGCCCTGTCATGTATGAATTGTTGGTATGCTAAAGCTATATTAAAACAAAACATTAAGAGCTGATGCAGGCCATCATCATAGACAGAAAAAACACATTGAAATGTGTTTTTGAGAGTTTTCTTTTGAACATGTACCTATATCATTATTCATTTATTTATACCATTATTTAATCCTTTATTTAATAAATATATCCTGGGCACATCCTAGATGCTGGGGATACCATAATGTTCAAAACACCAGATTCTGTTACCTGGGAGTTTCCAGTATAGTTGTGATGAAAAACATTAATAAGGGGTGCCTGGGTGGCTCAGTCGTTAAGCATCTGCCTTTGGCTCAGGTCATGATTCCAGGGTCCTGGCATCAAGCCCCGCATCGGGCTCCCTGCTCCGCGGGGAGCCTGCTTCTCCCTCTCCCACCACCCGTGCTTGTGTTCCCTCTCTTGCTGTGTCTCTCTCTGTCAAAATTAATAAATAAAAAAAAATCTTAAAAAAAAAGCATTAATAAAATCGTGATTAACTGTTTAATTACAACCTTTGGTAATAAAGGTTTTGATTTGATAAATCATATTGTCTTCTTAATAGAACTAATTAAGGGTAAAACTTTTTAAAACAAGTTGGACATTAGAAAGTCTCCAAATTTGTTAACATGCCCCAGTTCCAACTGTGTTTCCCAAATTTGCTTTTGGAAACCCAAAGTGTATCCCTCTCTATACACATAATTTTAAAATGGTAGTTGAGTTCCTGGACCTAATATAGAGCAGGCCCAAGAGCCTACTTTTATTCCATAGCTAGACCTTTAAAAAGGGCCATGCAGAAGATAGAAGTGGAAATGGAAGAAAATAATTTTCTCCTCTTTTCTGGGAAAGTTCCAAACCTAGGCAGAATTCTGAGGTGAACAACATTGTCATGTCAGATCTCTTTGAACACGTTTTTCTTATTCCTTTCTTTACCACAGACCTGGCATACAGTTCCTTGTTGAATTAGGCTAAAGTTTGGTGTGGGGTTTTTTTTCTTTTTTTAATTTAAATTCCAGTTAGTTAACATATAATGTAGTACTGGTTTCAAGAGAAGAATTTAGTGACTCATCACATACATCTAACACCCAGTGCTCATCCCAACCAGTGCCCTCCTTAATGCCCATCATGCGTTTAGCCCATCCCCCCACCAACCTCCCCTCCAGCAACCCTCAGTCTGTTTTCTGTATTTAAGTCTCTTGGGGTGCCTGGGTGGT